GGGGGGGGGGGGCAGAGGCAGAGACCAGAGAGCGAAATATTTTTTTCTCGAAACCGTGTTCACATGATGGCCGCAAAGCAAGAAGGCTTATTTCCGTATTACTCTCGGTGGTCGAGCTCCAGCCCATTCCCCATGGTATTGATTGCACGGGAGGGCCGTTGCGTCATGTTGGCAATGTTCACTGTCACAAATGTCCAATGCCCGAACTCTCTCGACATCTATCGGCCCACGGATCGCCAATTCACCTTAGAGGACAGGCCTCATCCTTGAGGCGATTTGATACCCCCTGGAACGATTTTCAGAGCTGGATTATTCCACGATGGAGAGGGTGCAGAAACGAAACAACAAGTTTTCGGAAGATGTCGACTAGACGGTTTCAAAGCTTTCGTTTTCGGCGCACTCTTTTTGCTGTGGAGTAATCGATGTTTGAAAATGGGTCCCAGCGGGGGTCTCTAGGCTATCTGTCGTATATTTCTATTGGCTTGCGGATCTTTCGGGTCCATTATATTATATTTCAGTTTACCTCTGTAGGGTAAGTTAGCCTGTGACCACGGGAATCGACCGCGTCAAGTGTAGAGATGGGCACCGTTTGAAAAATAACCGGTATTACTCGGTTATTTGGAAACCCAGCAGACGTTTATGAGTAACGGTTATCATGAAAAAACGGAAGTATTTCAAGAAGGAGGCGTTTTGTAGCCGGTAATACCCGGTTATCCGTTTCCCGGTTAACCGTCGCTAAAACACCGGGTTATGCAGCGTTTTATGTTTGAGAATAGCGCCTCCTAGCCAATTATTGCTCATTGGTTGTTCCCTTGTGGTGACATCTCTTCGTTGCCACTACGACAATAGATCGTGTGCGTGAAATACACCGGCAGACACCGACTACGTGATTGAAAGATGGTGTATGTACCATAAAGCCACAAAACAGACCCAAGTTTGAGAGGTTGCCGAGGCGTTTCCTCATATGATCCGGTTAAACTGGTTAACCGATCAACCGGTTAACCGGGGCTGCAAAAAAAACGGTTATACCGGTTATTGGATTTTGAACGCCTCCTAGCCGGTTATCGGTTATTGCTTTTTCACGTCCGGTGCCCATCGCTAGTCAAGTGTTAGGCTATTCCGCGTCCCCCTCTGGCCCGTGAGTTGATAAATCGTACAAGGAATCCCTAAATGCTATGCCCTGAGGCCACTTGTTACGCTGTCTCTTTTTGGGCTGTCCCTTTTCTCAAAAAGGGACAACTGACCAAAAACCACTTGTTACGTGGTCTTTTTTTGCGTTTATGAACCTCCCGAAAAGGGACAGCGAAAAAAGATCACCCCATCCTGTCCCTTTTTGGGCAACTTTGTCCCTTTTTGAGAAAAGGGACAGCCCAAAAAGAGACAGCGTAACAAGTGGCCTGACCATCACTTACACAAGACGAATGCCTTTTCCGTTTCTGTTGGCGCTCGTATTGCTCAGATCACTTCTCAGCAGAGGTCGAAAACGTCCTACAACAACCTCGGACCCCGGCCACTATCGCGGGGTTCGGCATAGAAGATGCGGATGGGTCCGTAGGAAGAACCGAGGTCATGGTTGGCGAGGTCATGGGGGGGTGGGGTGGGATATTGAAGAGCACTCCCCCTGCTAAGCTCTTGGCCCGACCGCCTGTCAGGTGAGGTCGGAAAAGTTCAGCGGAATGGCAAGGGAAAGCAAGAAACGTGACGTTGAACACAGAGGATAGAGTCCGTTTCCGTACCAGTGGTTGTCTCCACATCGTAGGGGAGGGTCAGCAGGCAACATGAGAAGCCCCGGGCCAGGCGTCCGTATGATTGCGTCGTTGGCAGGTTTTAGGAATCCTAAGTCTAGTTCCGAATCCGACGTGGTCATAGTTGAGAAACAACTTCTTCTTCAAGTGATTGCAGCTAATGCGTGAACTCACTCCCGAGGGCCTCCCTCCGTCCACCTCGTGCCAACTCACGCGAGGTCACGAGAATGTTCCATCGTGGATACAAAGTGGCATGAGTATTGTCTAGCTCTGGGTTATTCGTAGTCGCCTGCAACACGTCTGGAAGGAACGAGCTCGCAGACACACGCTGCGTAGTCGATCGTCCTGCTCAAGGCAAGACTACTTGAGAACGTCGACCCTTCCCTGCCCCCGCACTTTCACCGTGAAAGATTTCTGTACGATCTGTTTCGAGCTGTCGCGAAGGCCACCGGATTTGGAGAAGACGAAGCTTGTGGCTCAAAGTGGGAGGACCTCTCGGGTATGTATCACGCTGTTCACTTGGGGCTGAATGGGTGCGAATGAGAGTGGAGTGGTTGTGTAGCATTAGCGGGAAGGTGTGGGGGCAAGGAAGAGGTAGGCTTGGGGCCAGGATCAGCTGCAAGACACACCGAGCAGGATTGGCAAGAAAGAGCACCCTAAATGACATCAGGATTGTGGAAAAGGGGCCTCCGAAGCTCCAAAAATGTTCCTTATCAGACCCGTGAAAGGTCGCACGAACTGTGTCGTCGATATGGTTCCTCTATACCGAAGCTAGCATCATGATCGATCTTTCTCGAAAGACAATAGGCGGGCGTGTAGTCTATCAGTGTTGACCGATTTGCTGATTGTGGACGCGCTGAAAAAGGGCAGCGAGGGGACAGCGATACGAGCCGCTATTCTAATAGAGGAATCTGTCTCCCATTCCCCGGTTTCAGTGAGAGCTTTTTTTTGTCTCTATAGAAGTCGGCTTCCCTTCATTTTCAGTTTTGGAACTCGAGAAAGAGCTCACGCGCTCGCATGGGACCGAACCCCGTGTGAATGAATGAAGCAATCATGGCTAAATACGAGGGCCGACGGAACCAGTTCCACGAGGCTTGACGGCGAACCTTGTGGAAGCGTAGTTTACAACTTCCACCAGATTCCACGTTGTTTCGCGGTTAGCATCAATCAGGATCCAGCTGGCCAAGGTTAGTTGCTTGGGTCGCCGTCGAAGGGGGAGAGCGTCGTTGGAATGCATGGTGATTGGCTAAGTTGACGTGCGTCGCGATGAACAGGTCGTCAGATTAGGTAAACGTTAGCCGGCAGGACTATCACAGGGCATCAGACGCCGAACGGCGTGTCTACACCCCTACGTCACTCCTGCCAATTACCACGAACCTCGCGAAAGTGGTATAGCCAAAGAAAATGTCCTGGTGGTTGGTACACTTTTTTTTTAACAATATGGCATCCACCGCAGCTAAAGCTTTCACGACATAAGGGATACCGCAGAAGGCCTAGACGTGCATGAAACCTCGTGACAGCCGTTGAAGCTGCCACGACTACCAAGGAAGTTGTCACGGACGTAAAAAAGTGAGGAAAGTGTTGGAGCAGGCTGTGCACCCATGAACCGGAATCATCCCTGGCGAAAAGAAAGAAAAATAACCCCGACCCGCCCGAACACCACACGTCGCAGGCAAGAAGGACAAGATGCGGTTTATGGAGGGCATGATCCAGCTGGTGACCAAAAGCTTGGGACTAGACACTCGTCCCGCGAAGGGGTCCGACATCGTTGTCGGGCAAGAGTGCGATGCCACCAACAGGTTTCTCCAGCTGCTCGCTCTAGCCGCACGTCTTCACCAAAACTGCGAGAAGCAGCGCGGGCAGCAGCATCGTGGCATCGATCACACCAACGACGACTCGCGGTGGCAGCCAAGTCGGGCCAAGCAGCGGACTAAAGAAGCAGCAGCGGCTGTGGTCGTCGCCACGAGTTTTGATGGATTTTCATGGGAGGAAGCGACCTTTGTAGCGTTCGAAGAGGATGGAGATGAAACCGGCCATATCGATAACGGTATCGTCAAAGACTCTCTTCCCACTCTCACGCTGAGAGTCGCCCGGGCAGCAGCGGTGAGATGTCGCCACCTCCGGCTGTCGTGGCCCGCCAAACCAACCAGCAGCAGCGACGGCGGCAACGACAATGACGCCGATACCACCAACATCCCTACCTCGCCCGACCAAGCCAGCGACACAGCAGCAAGCATCACCCACGCCGCGCCAGCTTTCGACCCTGGTGCATCCGCTCCTGATCATGTCCGGGGCAGTTACCGTTCCGATGCTGGACAGCTGTTTTTGGGGGCAAAGGCGTTTCGAGTTAGGATTGTTGGGGAGGGGGTGGATGGTGGGACCGCCGCCAGGCGTGTTGGGAACGGGCGCGGGAGGGTCCTTGGTGAAGAGGTGGATGGGGAGGGAGGGGGGTACAGGTTTGCTGGCCGGGTGAAGGGCAGCCGCGAGGGTGAGGAGGAGAACAACCCAACTCAAGACGCCACGAGCATAGCAGGTGACGAAACTCAAAAAAAACTAGAGGGGAGCGAGGAGAGGTTTTTATTCACAATTGCAAAAGATGGCGCAATGGGGCTCGGGAAGTTCGTTGGTGGGCACCACTCATGGCTGTTGACGGGACGAGCGCGATGTTTGTGAGCAAAACAAGTATTTCACGTGGACTTGTGTGAACTTGGCGAAACACATCCGTCGCCCCAAATCTGGCAGAGACGGGCAGGTACCTGTTCATCCCCGTCTGGAAAGTTGAGGTACGCTAGGGTTTTCCTTTGCCTCGCTACCGATACCTTCAGCTACATTCTTCAGCTACGTCCTCGTCTGGAAAGTTATCTACTACTGCTGCAGATGTGATCTGACCTCTTCCCTAGCCTCTCCATCTCCCTCTGTTGGGACCAGTAACATACCACAACATTTCGTTTTCTCCAGGCATATTCCAGAAGATAGTGTTTCGGCCCCAAGAGAAACTTTAAAACCTCAATCCCCGTGCCACCAGAAGCGCAAGAGCAAGCGGCCATGGGCTCGCTCTTGGAGGCAATGCGCACGGCGGTGGACCGCCTACTTCGGCAGTCTCTGGAGTGGGGGCGGATCGAGGCGGCCAATCAGGACAGGAGAACGGCGATGCGGACCAACAAGGTGTGGGCGCTAACCAATCCATCCACCAACCGATGACTTACCGCCAGCGTGGTTCGAGACGAGTCGACCCCCTCAAACGAAATAAAACGACGCCTGACGGAGAGCTCGGTCAAAGGCGAAGGAGGTGTAGGAGAACATTTGGGGTGGTGCTGGGGATTGTGTGAACGTGAGAATAATCGTAGTATTCTTTGGGTTAGGCCGGCCTGAACCTTCTTGCAGCAGAAGTGGCATGTCACGTTCTTCCGCATCGTATATGGATTGTTTTGGCGATGAAATAAATCTATTGGGGGAACACTCCACCATACCCGGAATACGCATTGGGCCAAGCAACGATAGTTCCCGTGCTCCGTGTTGTAAGGTTGGCCTCCCTAGGTATGGTGCTCATGCCAGGAACCGAGAGGCGGCGTTCTGTACGCTTCAGGAAACGCCGACGAAATAAGGTTAACAGCCCTACATTGTGATAGGGTCCCACAAGCGTTCGGAAACCGTCCGTATTTCTCAGATGGAGTCTTTGGAGAAACGCCTCAAGGCTTCTAATGACGCCAAGTCGCGCCTGGCGAAGGACAAGAAATCGATAACACTCAAGGCGACCCGGACAGAAGGTGACACGAGCAACTGGAGGCCCAACACGGTGCTTGTGTTCGAACCCAGTATTTTCGACCGGTGTACGGATGTTCGACATATACAGCAAGTGATACCTCAAGAGTGCACGCCCAGACAGCCACGACCCTTGTAACGACTTCTGTACGCATGTCGTGCTTAGCAGCGTGGATGTGTAGTCGCAGGATGCACATGTGGTCAGCAAGCTGGCATATACGTCGATGTGTGTCATCGCCAGAACGATGGCAATAGCGACGATGCCGTGACCAACTCGTAGATAGCGTATCTCCTGAAGCGTGCTTCAAGTGGTTGACCTTCACAAACCAATAAAAGCGGCCAGATTCGACGAAACAAATCTTCACGGTTCGGCCTCACCGGCTGAGAAGGAAAGTACTTCCGTCTTGCGTTGCTGCCGACAATCGACACTTAAATGCTTCAATGTACACTCCGAAGAAACGCATCAACCGTTCCTTTGTCTTCAAAACAAACCTAGCGCGTTCAGGGGTATACACCTAGTATCGTCATGTTGAGCTCTGTCTCCTGCTCAACTACGCATTATTGCCGCCTTTCAGAGGAAAACCTGAGGCTCCAGGAACAAGTGCTGAGACTGAGGGCGGACGTCGGCCGAGAGCGAGTGGAGAACGCCTCACTCGCCAAAGGCCTGGCGCAGGCTGAAACAAGGGTAGGGGTATTGTTTCTTGTGCTAGGTAGCTTTGAGCACCGAAGTAGTTGTTGTTTGCTTTACCGGTTCGGTCGTGTAGTTGCTGTTATCGTTGTTGTTCCCTTGACGCGAAAACATTTTTTAGACTTTCAGCAAATACCTCGGCAACATCCGTGGTGATCCAAAGAGGTTGTGGCCCTCGACTCGTGAAGCAGCGGTTTTCCCTAGGTGTGTCTGGCTCTTACTTTTAAGGGGGCAGCAACTTCGTGTCTGAAACGCGACCTGGACGTTGTTTGTCATGTTCCCACACACGACCTTCTTGTTAGGTCGCTTGAAACCAATATCGAATAAGTCTGTACGCCCTGCTGGTTCTGGGAAAGTTCTTAAGCTACCACAATGGGGTATGTACAGTGGGGCGGAGAGGCTTTCTCCAGCAGTGCAGGACTCTGCTGTAGAGAAGTATCCCTTCTTGGATGCGACCACCTGCAAACTTCTAGAGTAACCAATCCTGTCTTTCGCCCACGACTGCAGCAGTTTTCTTCAAACAAATCTCGCCCTTGCTTCAGCTGTTTGTTCCAATCAGTAGACTGGACCGTACCTGACAGCGCCGTACGACCGGGTTTCGAGTTCTGCCGATTTGGACACAACGTCGTTGTCCCACATATGCACAGCTGCCGGTCGCTACCAAGCCGTGAGTATGTTCAAAAGCGGCCAGTAAACCCCATGAGCACCACTCGACTGCAAAATAAGCAATTCCGGCGATTTACGACCTCGTCGATCCTCAGGTGGAAGAAGAAAAGGCACGATTGAGAGAGCTAGAAGATCTCAAACGACACCTCGACAGCGAGACCGAGGACCTCCAAAATCAGGTAAACAACGGGTACACGAGGCCCCTATATCGTTGTTTTCCCCTTCCGGTCAGCGCCATAAAAGAGTACAGATTTCCTACTCGTAGCAACTACTCTTGAAGATCTCTCTCTTTGATGGGAGATGCGGATCGGGTAACATTGGTTTTAGCTCTTACGGTGATTATTGGTGTACAGCTTCCGTGATGCCTTACTTCGTCCTTGAACGACTGACCATGTCCCCCGGAAACCTGCGGCCGCCGCCATAGGTTGAGGTCTTGACCGAAGAGAGGGATGTGGCCCGGTCCCACGAGGAAGAGCTTTTCGCAAAGCTGACAGAGCGAACGGAAGACCTGGAGGCCCTGCAGGAGAGCTACGTCTCCCTCACCGACCGGTATGCTCTTCGGTCGACACACGCTAGATGTTTTAGTTTCTCTCGTCGAACGTGGGCGTGCGATAGACCACTGTTTCGCAGCCCTTGTTCTGCCGTGCGTGTCGTAACAGCTCGAGCTGTAAGCTACTTGGTTCTGCTTGTAAACCTTGGGGGGAAGTAGATTTCTCTTCTTTCCCATCGCACGATCACAGAACCACGCGATGACGCCTGAGGACCCATGGAAAGAGCGAGGGGGGGGTTGTCAAGATGATGCCACTGACGTGTTTGAATTTCAAATGTACCGAGCACTGACCAGCACTGCGTCCGGACAAATGTAGGCTTCCTTCGCACAACTCCCGTAACCAACAATATCTGTGCATCATGAAGAATCTAAATGGGGTGGGAAAACGACACTGTAGGTCCGTGTTTTTTCGTCAGTTTTTTCATCCGAGTTTCGTTCCTATAGAAAGAGGCCTCTCATCTACCCAACCGGATGACACCGCACCCCAGGTGGAACGACTTCCAGGACGAGCACGACGAGGTGCTGGAGCAGCTCGAGAGCTTTAGGGCCACCTTCAAGCTTGCCAACAACAGCAGCAGCAGCAGCAGCAGCAGCAGCACGCCTCCTCCTTGTCCCGACACCACGGAACACGTCGTGGAAGCGGCAGCACCGCAAGTATCATCAACCCCGCGAACCTCCAAAGCGGTATGCATTGATGGGAATAGCGCTGACAACAGCATCAGCAGCAGCGACCGGAGAAAAAACGGCGAAGACGACAACGACTACAGCCGCCAACAGCAGCTCGGGACAGGAGGATCTCCAGAAGGGCTCACCACCATTCAATCAATCTCCGAGCCGGAAGGCGGAGGCCGGAGCAGCCACGCTCCTCCCCAACCAGCGAGCGGTCGGAGCGCCGTGGGGTGCATCGGCACCAACAGCAGCACCGTGTCTCCGCGCGAGGAGCTGAAGCTACGTCTCGGCGGCGTGGGCGACAGCAGAAGTAGCCGTAGTGACGACGCTGACGCGCCGTCGAAAGGGGGGAGCGGTCGAAGCCCTCGCCGATCTTCCCCCCGTGGGCCGCCGTCCTTCGATTCAGCTGTTCCGTCTCCCCATCAAAGTTCCAGCCCTCGGATGTCGGGGTTGGCATGTGATGCTGAGCGAGGGACCGCTGGGGAAACTCAGGAGGCATCCGGGCTAAGAAGGAGGTGGAGCACCGAAGACTGTGCTCGTTATCGCGGCGGTTTGCAACAACGCGGGGATGCCGAAAGCGGCTGCGGAACGAGCGGTGGTAGGTCACCCGCGACAGTTGGTGGCGGCGGTGCATATGATGGCGGCCGCATCGACTTAGAGGAGAAAGTTCCGGGCCGCGGCGATAATTGCGGTAGCAGTGATGGAGAAAACGAAGTCAGGTCGCGGCGGGGCGACCCTAGTGGGAAATCGGTATCCGCCACCGCTTCCGCTTGCACGGCGGGACGGAACCCCGGTATTCTCCAGGCGGGTGATTCAGGGGGCTACTACGAAGACGACTTCGACGAATTTGTGGAAGAGGGGTCCGAGGAAAGTGTGCAACAGACTGGCCAGACGCGGCCCCTGAGCGCCGTGGGACATCAGAAAGAAGAGGTGTGTCCTTCGCGCGGCGCCTGTAGTGAGAGGCAGGAGCGAAACGTGAACGGTGGTGGCGGCAACCAGCCACCGGCTGAGATCGTGTATCGCCCACCATCCAGCGGAAGCAGGGGAAAAGGGGAGAGACCCAAATCTGCCGCGAGACAGGGGAGGTCGGCGAGCTTGAACGGAGCATAGCAATGGGACGCGTGTCCTCCGAGTATCGCGTTGATGCTCGTCTTTGCGAGACGACGACCGAAGGCCATTTCGTAGGTCGGTCGTTTTTTTCCGAGACAATGGATGAGTATGTTGGATATTGTCATGCTCTGGGCTCTAGTTTATTCAAGTAGATGACGATGATGAGTGTAATACTGGAAACAAGGACGGTCGGATGTCGACGGACGACGAAGCGATGACGGCATGATCAATGAAGGCGGCCCAAGGCCACCCGAACGACCCGGTCCAACCCAACCCAACCCAACACAACTCAACCCGAGCGAGCTCATCACGGTCCAACACGTCGTTCAAGCTAGACAACCCACCCGAAGATAACAGAACATATCGGTCCAAATCGGGCCTGAACTCAACCGAACATTATGCGCACACTACATGAGGATTCACACATACTATTACGACCCGCCCCACAGCCAGCGTAACGAAGAAGACGTAGGTTGCCTGACAAGAACAAGTACAAATATCCATGCACAATCCAACCTACGTGGCGACTCGCACAAACCCTCCGCCACCCTTGCAGGAAAACCATTGTTGGACGATGGTCGTTCGGCATTTTACCGAGCCGACACACAGAGAGGTGACAAGTTGGGAGCTAAACGAGCGACCACAATGTATGACAAACAGTTGCACCCAACAACGAACTCCTTTTCCGAAGCGGTGGTCAAGCGGCGGTCAGACAGTGGTCCGAGGCAGGAGAACATCTCCAGATCTGCGACCACGGGTAGCTGGCACCGTAACAGACGGCACCCGGCGAAAGATTCATAGTGACATCCTGGCCCTGACGGGATCCCTGCTTTTGGTAGGAGAATCCAGGTCTCCTCCAAAGAAGCGGGCGTCAAAGTGTCTTGTAGAGAGCTGTACAGGAACGCCAGTGGCGATCAAGTACAGCAGTATGGAGAGTTTTGTGTTCGAAAATAGAAGATGGTGCATGATTTTTCTTCCCACGGATAGTCTATTGCTGTAAGTATAGTGTAGTCCAGTGATGGCGCCGCTCTCACAACGATCGACACCTGCCATGGAGGGTCCGCCAAGACGTCGGAGTGACAATGACGGTGGTATAGTGATCACCAAACAAACAGAAACACGGGATGCCAAGGGATGCGAAAAAAGTCAGCACACCTAGAGCCGGGGCATCACTCTCGACGGTGGGCAATCTGCTGTTGTACTAAACACACCAAGTACTGTAGACTACACTACAGACAGCAGTATTTATGCGCACGCCTCGCGCAAGATCCTCCTCCTCCTCCTGCTGGTTGTGACCGTTCAAACCCGGAAAGCAAGTAGGTGTCGAAGTCACGGTGCCGAATGGGAGCACTCCCTCACTCTTTGGGACAGCCGAACAACGGCTCCAACGACGGCATCCCCGGTCGCCTATTTCACATCCGCGGAGGTGCGACATTCCTTGGTGGTTGGGTCGATTGCCGGACGACCCGTACCTAACGATGGGACTGAGCGAGCTAAAAAGCCAAACAAAGGGAAAACACCTTGGACGGGAAGCTTCTCTTTAACCCGTGTGAAATCATCATGGATCCAAACGAGGAGTACATGAGCAGTGCCGACGCCAATATTCGTATGGGTGATTCGCACGTCGCAACAATATTTGGGGCAAGACGCGCCGTACATATCTGCTCGGGAACCGGTACAATAACGCCCGGAACCAATCATGAGGTTCCGACCAACATCGGGGCTTCCAATGCTTGGGACTTCTGCACAGCTGTATCAAGGAACGAGTGCGACACCTGGACGCGACGTTCACCACTATCGAAGCCCTCACACATATATTTCTTGCGCCTCGTCCCAAACTCCCCCGACCGAGGCGATAGGTACAGGCAAAATCTAGGAACAATTTTTTTTTCATACAAGATTTGGTTCGATTAGAACGAAACTTCCGTGTGTTCGGTCGTTTGGTCGTTTGGTCGTTTGGGTCCCTTTCTTCGTATGTACGTAAAAATCGTCTACATACAACACGGTCGGTCGCGAGTTGGGCTCAGTAAACTCAGGTCGATTTCGTCGTGCTGGGATTGGTCCGTCATTGCGTGTGTTCAATGTGTGCGGATGTAATGTGCACATGAGGAGAGTTCCTCGTCGACTTTCCTGCTGCGCTGGCAAGGTCTCGTCACAGCGGCAGTACGTCTGGTCGAATTTACAACTGGAATGCTGGGCACGTTGTTCGCTCTGCGTATGCACGACGAGCATTGCTTCCGAGAGCAAAAGAAGATTTGCGGGTGCACGGACCTACACCCACTAACACAACGGACGAAGGTTGGAAATGGTTCCCTTGAGTATCGTGGTGATCCGCATCGTGTGCTTGTGCCTGACATTCGCGTACGGTCTCGTCAGCCTCAGTCACATCACCGTCGCCTGGATGCTGAAGAAGAGTTTCTACGTTGCGGTCAGGTGCGTGCGTGTTCTTTTTTATATATATTTCATTGGTATGACCACAACGAATCCATCTCTTTCGAAGAAAAGAGTCTAAGATAGATAAGAAATGAATCTATGGTCAACGACTTCTGTTCCACGATTTCCCGAGCAGCACACAGTGATATCTCCCCCGAGGGTAACAATAATCATATTAGCATCGACCAACATGCTAACCAACCGACGCTAAAGAAAGAACGTCAGTCTTACATAGTAAGCGCGGCTGAAATAACAACAGAAACAACTCCTAGAAAAAGGTCGTTACCTACTGCTGTACAGCAGTCGGGTCGTCGATTGTAGATACATGCGATCATTGCTGTACATACCTTTCCTTCATGGACACTCACTCCACTTGTCGATTGGGGCATAACGTATGGGTCGAGAGGTGGGCTGTGCTGGTTGCTCACCCTTTATGGAATGAAGGCTGCACTTACGACCAACGAACCCCCCACCGACTTACTAGTAGAGCACTACCGCAAACTTGGGACACCCACCACCAACGACAACTTCGACTCGGAGTTTGAGAAGGAAATCAACTCGTGGGCAGAGGAAAACGTTGAAAGATCTCGGAGGGAATGTAGTGATGTAGGCGGGTTGCAGGGAGAGTTCACACGAGAAGAGGTAGAGGACTGTGTAGCGAAACTCAAGAATAGAAAAGCGGCAGGGGCTGATGGAATTGTGAATGAGCTTTTGAAACAGAGGGGGGGGGGGATGATTAACATGTTGGTCCGGATATTCAACTGGATATGGAAACACGAGTACGCGCCGAAGCGATGGAGAGAAGGAGTAGTCGTGAATCTGTTCAAAAAGGGGGATAGAACTGACCCGGGGAATTATCGAGGGATAACCTTGCTGAGCACAGTGGGGAAACTCTTTGGCAAGATGATAAACAATAGAATGGGAGACATGTTGGAGGGGAAACAAAAGATCAGCGAAGGACAAGCTGGATTTAGACCAGATCGTAGTTGTGTAGACCATGTATATACGTTGAGTAAAATTATCCAAGGTAGGAAAGACACCGGGCGTACGACATACTGTTTCTTCCTAGATGTACAACAAGCAAAAGATCAGCGAAGGACAAGCTGGATTTAGACCAGATCGTGGTTGTGTAGATCATGTATATACGTTGAGTAATATTATCCAAGGTAGGAAAGACACCGGGCGTACGACATACTGTTTCTTCCTAGATGTACAAAAAGCCTACGACACCGTTTGGCGCAATGGATTGTGGAAAAAGATGTGGGACATAGGGATCCGGGGGAAAATGTGGAGGATGTTGAAAAAGATGACAGAATGCACAAGAAGTGCAGTGATGTTGGATGGGGAAATCTCGAAGTACGTGGATATACTCCAAGGAGTCGCACAGGGCTGTACGATGTCACCCACTCTTTTCAAGATCTACATCAACGACTTGATAAGGGCGGTTGAAGCAGTAAGACAGGGAGTCCAAGTAGGGGGAAAGAGTGTGTCCGGACTGATGTTTGCAGATGATTTCGTGGGGGTATCCGAAACACCATAAGGGTTGCAGGAACAAATAGATGCGGCAGGAGGATACACCCGAAAATGGAGACTGTCGGCGAACGTAGGAAAATGCGCAGTAGTGGTGTGCAACGAAGACAAGAAAAATCCCGTAGAATTCAAATGGAAATGGGGGGAGGAAGAACTACCGGTAGTAGCCAGGTATACGTACCTGGGAGTAGAGATTTCGAAGGAGTGCTCATGGGACGCACACATAGCAAAGTTGATTGGGAAGGGTAAAGCTCAGATCGGCAAGATGGACGAGATCCTTACGA